CATTACCCCTCGTCGGTAATCCTAAGAAGAGCAAATATCTCGCTTTATCCGAGATAGGCGCTTTGAGTTTCTAGATCCCTCCGTGGATCGACGAAGCTCTGTCCGATTTTTCCGGATCAGATCTGATTGCCAGGTAGTCCACGGATATCGACGTCCCCGTCACAGGCCAAAGACCCACGCAAGCAAGAGACGACAAACGGATCTTGTGTTTATTTTCGAAAAGTTGTAATTTTTATTTTTTCATTATTTGAATTCATTTGTAACGTTTGAAGTTTTAATGAAATCAATGATGAAGGCAACTTTTTCCGAAAACAACCCCCAGGCGAGGTGTCAACAGTTGCTCCTACCGTGAGTAATCGTCTGGCTCTTCTTGGGAGAAGGTTACCTCCACCAGATTATAGATGCTATGGTTGGGCTTCCTCATTAGCCAAGGGATGGTGGACACGCATGACCAGTTTCGTCTTGGCGCGTTGGGAGAGGAATTTGAAGAGCAGTGGATTGTATGCACCTATACGAGCCACCATGTACGGACTCCCGGTCAGCTGTCGCCATTTCTTGGCGTTGTTAGAGACATACATGCCTGACAGTAACACATTCCTGACCAGCGGTGGTGAGTTAGGGTTGGCCTTGCATGAGATGCATCAGGTTTCTGGTCTTCCGATGGGGATTGTCCGTATCAGGAGTACTTTCCTTCGAACCAGCAGTTGGAGTGGTTGAAGAAAGATACTCCCGATATGTATGACACTCTTTGGGACCTCACTTGTTACTATTATACCTCCTTGATCCAGACTTCTCCTCTAGCGAAGAAGAAGAAGCAAATCAGCTTGAAGCAGTTTGCTGGCTATTTGTTCCAGAATTTGGAGGGTGATTCCAGCGAGCCCATTCGTGAGTTACATGTGTTGACCCCTACCGCCATTAATGAGTTGGTGGAGAAGGCTGAGGCTCGTTCTTACACTATTGCCAGTGCTGAGGGAGCTTTTCCTTTGTTATCTTTCTTGGGGGGATTGATACGACCCCCAGTCTGATTTGTCATTTGGGGACCTTTCAATGGTCCCAATCGTTCTTTGACAGGTGCCTTACCTCAGTTCTCCGGTAAGGGACCGAGGCGATCTTTTAAAGGAATCCTTGATCTTGAAGGATTCACGTTCTTGCCTAACTCCGTAGGAGGTGCGAGAACGGGATCTGGATTTGAAGAAGTTTGGGTGATAAATCCACCCACTTTTGTCTTAGATGCCGGGTTTGACTTTGGCACCCACATCTGCTTGTGTTTTGACGGCTTCTTGACCGTCTCCTCTTTCTGCATCTCTTCCGCCCCACATCTGCTTGTGTTTTGACGGCTTCTTGACCGTCTCCTCTTTCTGCATCTCTTCCGCTTTCTGCAAAAGGACTCGGGCATGTGCCAGCAAGGCGCGACGTTTCTTGATTCGCTCCTCGAGCGTGGAGCGATTCCTCTTGACGCGGATCCATTCATTTGCCTCTGCATTAAAAGAGAGGTTAGTTGTCCGGCGTTGTTGCTCTTGGCGCTGTCTGGACTTTAGATCCTCATTGTAGCGGATCCCGTCCATCGATTCTGCGGCCTTGGCTAGTTGTCGCGCGATGCGTTGATGCCGTCTTTGACGTGCCCTCTTTGATAAAGTTGGAGCACCTTCATCAGTTGCCTTCTTGGCGGAGGGGAGATCTGGATCTGCAGACTCGACCTCTTTGGATGCCGCCGGGATGTCACGGGATACGGGTGCAGCAGCGGCGAGGGTATCTCGGATCTTGGAGCCGAAGATCCTGCAAGCATTTTTGGAAGATGAAGTCTTCCTGCGCCTGTTTGGAGAGGCGGATCTGGAGGAGGAGGAAGAGAGGTACTCTTCAAACTTTTGTTGATCGAACTCGTATTCGATCTCTTCATTCACCCGGATCTTGAATGCCGGTTGCGTCACGACAGTCTCGGCAGCGAGGCTGTTGGCTCCCACTGTGCTGTGTTTTCGTCAAAAGTTGCCTTCATCATTGATTTCATTAAAACTTTAAGCGTTACAAATGAAATTCAAATAACGAAAATAAAAATTACAACTTTTCAAAAATAAACACAAGATCCGTTCGTCGTCTCTTGCTTGCGTGGGTCTTTGGCCTGTGACGGGGACGTCGATATCCGTGGACTACCTGGCAATCAGATCTGATCCAACTGAAAATCGGACAGAGCTTCGTCGATCCGCGAGGGGATCTAGAAACTTGAAGCGCCTATCTCGGATAAAGCGAGATATTTGCTCTTCTTAGGATTACCGACGATGGGTAATGCTAAGGAACGGATGCGGGTGATGAAGATCTGATGAAGAATTCCCTTGAAGTGATTGATCACTCTTCACTGCAGCAGGGCTTCGCCAATTCCTTTCCAAAACTCCAGATCCCCAAAAAATGAGGCCTAGGGTCACTATTTATAGGCAAGAGGACACATGGGACGTTGGGACACCCCTGGGGTGTCTAGGAAAAGCCGAGACACCGACACCCCTGGGGTGTCTTGGCTTTGCCTAGACACCCCTGGGGTGTTTCGACTTTCCCGAGACACCCCGGGTGTCCCAGTTCAGCCTGAGACGCTCCGCCGTGTATGTTTGATTGTTTCCGCCGTAGATTCTTCGTCCGAACTCGAATTTGAGTGATTCCAGGTGCGTTAGAAGCCTGACAAAGAGTTCTATCTGCTCCGATGGTTGGATTATCTGTAGAATAAACGAGATATGAAGGGTATTATTCCTTTTGTGAACATCGCAGGGTCCCCGATTAGCCCGTGCCTTCGTTATTTCGAAATTCTATCAGCTCACGTAGTTCGTCGATTCACTTCAATCGTTCATCGACTTCAATCGAACTCTTGTGGATCGGATAGTGGCGTTCATCGTCTCGACTTCAATCGAACTCTTGTGGATCGGATAGTGGCGTTCATCGTCGTTCTTTGACACTGAGCTGTTCATGGAGACCTATAGGCAATTTTCGATGCCTACACCCTGATCTGCCTAACACGGGTTCTTAATTTTTGAAGTTCGGATTCAGCTGATTTCTGAGAATCCTGCCACGCCTGCAGCCTTAAGTCCATTTGAGAAGCAATATAATACGACACGCCATTGGCACGAAGATCCCTCAAATGTTCGACATTCTGTTGGAGGTCAATTAAATAAGCTTCGATCAAATCGGCCAACTCGGCGTATCTGTCTTCTCTGATTCCTAAGACATGGCGATCGAGGGATCTTTTAAAGTTCTCGAAAGGGGATCCTTTGAGGATGACTCGATCGACGATAGTATTCAAGAAGTAGATAAAACCCTGAAGATCAGAGCAAATAACAGCCTTGTCCGGATCTTCATCTGCCAATAAAGCTTGGATACGATCAGACAATGATAAAGGAGAAGATGCAATAAGAACTGATAAAAATCAATACAAAATATATATATGTGCACACATGACGATGAATAGGAGTATTCCAAGTGCAATGGAAAATCCCATGATTTAATTACCTTGACTTGTCGATGCCGTGGCATGCTCCACAGTAACCGAAGTTTGTTCAGGAATAATACTTGACGGTTGATTCGCCACACCAGATGATTGTTCAGTTGTGTCTTCTGATGGTTTCGGGTCTAGATCAACGGATCCCTTAGAAGTGGATTCTGCAAACGTAAAAGGATGAATAGTAGACGTATCAACTTCAATGGTTGGTCCTACGACTGAAATTCTTATTTAATTATTAAAATTGTTGGCCTTCTTGTTTTGATGATGTTTAATAAACAATTTACTACTAATGTTGTTTGTCTAGTGTTTGTATTTTCGTATTTATTATAGACAAACAACGAAGTTGGAGGATGGATGGAATAGAGCCTTAACGATCATATCAAATGGAGGTTGGCGGAATGTCGGGTTGAAGCTTATACAATTCAAGTTAAAGATCAAGTTCAAGCTTCATCCGCATGTGTACCAAGTTGAGCTACAATGAAGATCAAGATCAAGCTTGGGTAATCTAGTTTAGATTTTATAGTATGTGTGTTAGATACTCTAAGCTCAATATCATATACACACACAGTTATTGGTTTCTTCGTATATCTATATAGTTATATAGATATACATAAGTTTTGGTTTCTATGCATATATATAGTTATATATATACATACATAGTTTTTGAGTTTTCATGTTTATAAATATGAAATCATATATTTCATATTTACTATTGTGTTTTGGTTTATCTACTTAGATATGAAACAAATATATTTTCATATACATACTCCTATGTTTCATTTTCTATTGTATTCGTAAAAATATTGTTTTCTTAGTTTTTGGACTTAACAATATTCATATACATATTTTATTTAGTCTACATAATCATTGTGCAAAGTTTCAAAACATGGTTTAGCCTAAATGTCAAAATTCATATGTTTACATTTTCGTGTTTTGGACTATTTTGCAAAATGATGATATTTTTCATTTGGGAAGTCCTTTTTGGAAACTTTTCAAAGGACTTCCCAAATGTTGATCATGTTGTTCTTTTAACTTTTACGACGGGATCGAATTTTTGAATTAGAAACTTTTCTCATTTGGTTCTTGTGTTTTAAAATGATCATAAACTAAAAAAAAATATTTACATGTACAACACATTTGTGGAAAGGTATTTTGGTAACATGCATCACGCATGGTGTCCTGAGTATAGCGCAACCCGTCGAGTAGCTGCTCACCATTTCAAAGTCCTCTTTCCAGTTAATTAGCTTAATTATAATCTACAACCCCAAACTGTGAAGTTATAAATAAAACTCTGCTAATACTTTTAGGACCAACCAACTAATCATCCACATTCTTTGGACATCTAAGGATAGCAGAGCTTGCACTGAAAAATCTAAAAGCTAGCATATTGTCAGAAGCAAGTAGCAACCCTGCAAAGTTTATCTGAATTCAGAAATGCTCAAGGAAAGATAACGAAACTGCTCAGTTTTCACATGTAACAGCGCTTCTAGCAAGATAAGAAGCCAAGGGACTCATGTACACAAAATACCAAGCCAGCACGCATACCTCCATAAAACGTGGTAAATAACAAGCTCGTAGATTGTTGCTTGTAATGATGATTCATGATCAGCAGAGCTCTAATCATTTTACAAAAACTACATTACATTACATACAATACAAAGCAGATCGAAGGGCAAAACAGGTAAACGCCACCCAAAATTGCTCCCTTCAAAGCCAATCACAACTAGCGCAGATATTTACATAGCACATCATAAACCACATTTCCCTCCTTGGCATCTAATACCTCTATTAATACAACAAATCTACAGAGCATATATCTTCTTCTTCTCGTGATCTGACAACCCATCCAAGTCAGAGTATGCCGAATAATGAGACCAGGAGAAGGACTTGCTTCCGCTCCCTCTTTTGATGCGCCTCTGAGAATCTTCACCGAACTTAAACTTTTGCTCAAGAATCCAATATCCTAATAGTAGCAGAGTCCCAATCATTACCGGTGCTCCAATCGCTGTTATTGTTATTGCCATCCATGAGGCTCGCCTTCCAACAACAACAAAAGCCAGGGCAAGAAAAGCACTGCAAGTACTAAGGCAGGCCGCCCACATTAGCTTGTTAACAACCGAAACCACCTGCTTCTGAGCACCAGTCTCCCATGCAACCAAAGTGATCTGGACCACAACTACCGCAAGAGAGATAAAAAGTGCAGTAGCATTTAAAAGGCAGAACACTCGAAATCCCATAGTCTCTGCTACATTTGCTTTGCCAGACACATAATACTGTCCTGGCAAATTGAAGATGGCAACAAATGCGATGGAGGCGATGAGCACAGCAACAACTGTTACCGAGTTGATGGTATTTTGGACTGCCTCCCTGTGAAGTTTCTTCAGCTCTTTGGCAATCCCTGTGACTCTTTTGTTGGTTTTGGCATTCTGGATGAGCTGGTCATGAACATCATGCTTTATGTCGCTCACAGTTCTTCTAAGCATTGATTCTTCATCAAGTCTACCAATGTTTCTGGCATTGCAGGCACCAGCTTCTCTAAGGATCTCCATTAGGTCCATTTGTGACTGATCATAAGGGACTTTTTCTGCTAAATCTAGCGCAGTTTGATCCTGACTGTTAATGGCATTTACTTCAATTGAACTATAAGACAATAGAAGCTGTACTATCTGGAAAAAAAGGAAAATTTGATCATTATGTCAGCAGCAAAACAAGCAGAATAAGTTGTTATTGTATTTGAGCAAACATACATATCAATCGACATTAAATTTGGTAGCATTCAGCCAAAGTATTATGCTTGTCAGCATGAAATAAAACAAGATCATGGAGAGCTTTATTCTTTGAACAGTCTCCAAGAATTATTTACTCCAGAATTCAGTACATTCAAAACTTTTATCGCAGTACGTCAAATAAATCATAACCGACATGATATAATAAGCAGTCAGAAGCATCTCAAACAATTTTTTTTTTCTTTTTCATTTGGAGACCAAGGAATTCAAGATACAGATAGGGATTTCACGAACTATTTTCATAGCATATGCATAACATACTTATCATGGAGAGATTAGAAGACATAAGAAATTTCTAATTAGTACTGAACAAAAAAATCATGTAAACAATCCCTAAAAACAGTTCATTTACTTTTTTTTTAGGATTATGCGTAACGCATGCAAAGACTAAGTTACTGAACAGAAATCGTAGAAGATATATCGTATAAAACAGAAATAATGCTTTCGTCCTCACACCAAAGTTATCATTGTTATAGTTGGTTACATGCAAATGACAAATAGGAAAGGCAGGAATCTGGTTCATAATCAATACAAATAGGGAAGGCTATTCCTTCTTTCTTTTTCGGACTGGCATTGGCCCTCTAACCTAGAATTTGATTGTTTCTCTTCTCCAAAGGGGTTGTGAACGGTGAAATTGCTATCTTCTATCCTTCTAAAGCCTGCACCTTTCATAGATCCTGTGGTTCATGATGCTACCTTAGCTAGCAATAGGATATCCCATAACATGATAAAGTTCTTTTCTTAGATGAGAGATAACTGAATACATAAATGTACCAATAGGAGTGAAGTGCAATGAAAGTAGACAGAAACTATCTGCTAGGTTACACACGGTTAAGGCATTTACGAGGAAATGGAAGTGCCCAAGATTTCTGGCAATAAAAGATGAAGCTTGAGTTAAAACTTGAAATTAAGCTGAAGATTCCAATGTCAAATAGAGTAGCCTTGCTTCAAACTTAAACAGCTTTTGGTTTTGTAAGATAAACCCACAAATGAAAGCATTCTATAATGACTTCTAGAGAAGAAAGCCTCAGACAAGCAATTTGTTCATGCTATAAAGAACATATCATCTATTCTCTTGTACTGTAAATAAGTTCAGTTACAATATGCATCACAATATGAAAGCTAAACACTGAATGGTTTTTCATAGAAGGCATCCAAGAACATTTCCAGTTCCATGCTCATCTGCTATTCTGATATGCACTTTATAATTTGTAACGGTATCATATCAAAACATGTACTTTAGAACAATGAACTTCATTTAATGAAGTACTCTACTAAGAAAGATAGAACTAGTTTTAGGTGTAGCTAGCTTAAAAATAAATCTGATAAGATGTTACCAGGTATTCAACAGAATAATCTAAAATAATAAATATATTTAACAAATTGACCAATTTAACTAAAAATTGAACTAGAAGTCAACAGTATTTTTAATTAACAGAAGAAGAGTTGAAACAAGCGTATAGTGTGCGTGCATAGTGACTCCTTACCTGAGGCCTCCATTTTCTCGTGGCTATATGCAACGCAGTATTTCCCTTCTTGTCGTGCATGTTGAGAATTAAAGGATCTGCATTCAGCAATTCCTCCACAACATCAGTATTCTTTCCTTTCACAGCCATATGAAGTGCGGTCTGGCCCTTCTTATCTATTATAGCAACTATTCCAGGATCCCTATCTATAAGTGCTTTAACAATCCGATGATGACCATTTCTAGCAGCCATATGCAGTGATGTCTTGCCATTTTTTCTCACAATCCTCATTGAACTCTCATCCACATCTAATATGGCATTCACCACATCCAAATGATCCTTAAATGCAGCACAATAAAGAGGGCTAGTATTTGATGAATCACATTGACTGCAAAGTTCAGGCCATAGGACCACTAGCTCTTTTACAATACCTGCATTTAAGCATTTCATGGGGCAAATTTTAAACCAGCAACAAACAAAGAAGAATGCTTCAATTTATAACGCATATTGATGAATACTATTTCCATGTTATATCTTATAGCATGACATCTGAGCCATGTAAACAAACTCAATAAGCCAAATAGGCTCAAGTCATCCTATTTCCAGCTGATACCAATGCCTCACTTCTGTCATGTACCAAGATAATGCACTAAAAAATGAAAAAGATGATCGAGATTTCTTAGTAGTTATAATCTCTCAGTGCTCAGACACTTCTGCAAGAAGCTCCGGGCTTTTGAGAACGATTAGAATGAATAAATCTTTAGCTTGCTAAAAAAATACAAATATTTTTTTAAATAGGCGCACCTAATGGATGCTTCCTTTTACTCTCCCTTTAACCGCCATATTAGGTGCCGCAAAAAAAGGGGTGTGAAATTATTAAGTAAGTAAATATCATTTAAATATGGATGTGTCCTTGGTTAGATCTTTCAGAGGTTGGTATGTAAGTAAGAATTGTGCTCAAGTAACATAGCTGAGAAGCTTCTGAAACAAATGAATCTTTGAGAGGAGAACATTCCGCAACCAATACCAATAAGAGCTTCAGTTAATAATTTTGAGTAGTCTTCTAAGAAAAAGTTGCCCTAATTTCGTCAAATTTCCATCAAATTTGAATGAATTCAAATCATTAGCCTATTGTTACCAATTAAAAATAAACCTATGTTACCAGGTACTTCTACTCTGAAGCTGTACCCGTACCCAACACATACCGACCCGTACACAAACTCCTTGGACACTCCTTACACATATGCATACATTTATTCGTCAATTATACAATATATGTTTTAATTTAAAACACTTATCATACATTTTTTGGACATATATCTTACGCTTCTCATTCACTTCTTGAAACTCGTTAGACATAGATCAGGTTCTGAACTATGATTTTGAAGGGTCCTTTGGATGTCTAGTACAAAAACTAGTGATTTTCTAATTTATATTTCTCATAATAAAAGAAACATAAAAATGTTATAGGAATTTTAATTATCATCCTTGTTCTCATATAAGTTATTAATTCTAATATACAATACAGGTGTATATCAATATTTATATAGTGTTTCCACATACCCGACCTTTTACAAATTTGCCATGTCCTGTACCCAATGTTACATTAAACGCTGGGCGCTTCTAGGCGTCAGACTTGGCGCCCAGCGCTTAGTCGTCTAGGCGGGCGCCTAAGCGGTTTCTGGGCGTTTTTTTTCTTTCTTCATTTAAGTGGTGATCGATGAGGTTTTGCTGAAGGTCGGAGGAGATAGTGAAGGTGTTCATATTTGGATGTTAATGGAGTTTGGAGGGCGTGTAGGCTACGACACATAAAATCACAATCAATGCCTACAGGGTGCAATCCACGTAAGCAGACAATGCTCCCCTAAACGCTCGTAAAATCTAAGTGGGCAACTTAAATACCGTCTAGGCGCTAGGCGCTAGTTAGGCGGCCTAGGTACCGTCTAGGCCTAGGCGTACGCCTAAGCGGACTAGGCGGAGGTTTTTTAAAACAGTGCCTGTACCCATACCCATGCAACATAGAATGTAACCTTTTTCTGCCCTCCCCCCTCCCCATGCCCCCAACCCCAAATTTCTAGATCCACCATATCAGGCCCATCATATCTCACACAATTCAGCTAGACAGAACTTCAAACTGAAATGGAGTCTACATAAGTTAAATATTTTGTATTTTTTGTTTTTTATTTATTTATTTTTATATTAAAATGCTAGTTAGGCTCATGGTCTCCATTCTACTGCACATCTATCGGAAATAGAGAACTAAACAATTGTCTATTACCAACTACTTACCAATTGAACTTATAAGATAAGATAATTTATTATAATAAAACTAGGAAAACGTATCCAAAAGAATTCGAGAAAATTAGACAGACAATTCCAACGTTTCTTCCGCAAACTATTCTTCCAAGACAATTGAAAATAGAGAACAAACCAACTCTATCTCTTAATTCAGGACATCACAATTGCAATTTTTTCTTCTCAAAAGTCAACCCTTATAAGGTCAAGGTCAAACTTCAGTTCTACTCCAGAATGCTTCGTCCATTTTATCTCCATCAATTTCTCAAGCTCTACTTCTTAGTTCAAATTATAGCAAATCCCTTTTCCCACCCCAAATTCTCCCAAAATAACTTTTATTTTCTACACAATTCAGTACAATAAACACCATGTTCACCAAAAGGTCCAAAACTGAAACAAGTTCAAGAAATCTCACCGACGTAGCCCTGTTTCGCCGCCACCTGAATCGGGTCCATATCCTTCCTCGATCGAATCTTCGCCGTCTCCAGATCACAGAATCCGACGAGATACCGGAAAAGCTCCTCCTGATTGTTCTCAGCCGCTATGTAGAGCGCCGTCTCCCCCGCTTCCGTTGTTGCCTTCATCAGCGCCGCCGCCGTCTCCGCTCTGGCACCTCCGACGATGCCTCGGACGACGGATACGTCTCCGGACGTGACGGCGGCGAAGAACGACTGGTGCAGTTGCAACCGGAGATCCATGAGCTAGGGTTTCGTTTTTCCCCAATTTCAATTAGAATTTTTTTTCCTTCTTTTTTTCTTTTTCTTTTTCTTTTTCTTTTTTTTTTTGGGCCCGTGCTCCCTGTAAAACCACGAAAGTGAGCGAGATGGAGAATTGAGTGAAAATCGTTGCAGGGTTGAGTAATGTTTAATTTATTCATATTCGAGTGTCACTGATTGAGTGGAATTATATGTTTGTTTGAGGGGTGAAAGGGACTTTTGTTGAGGAGGTGGCGGGAGTGATGGAAACAGTTAGAACGTGGAGTTGGACGACAAAATACGATAGTCTTTTTTTTTAGAATTTTTAGATATTAGCCCCTTACGTTGAAGGTAATTTGTAGTTACTCCATAAGTCTCCATATTTTGATTTTACCCCCTCAAGTTGATATGACACGTTAATATAAGGGCCTCTTATCAACATATCATGGCTATTTTAGGGCCTAGTACAAAATATGAACATAATTATAGGGGATCGCATCAACATATTATAGATATTTGAAGGGCACATAACAACATATAAAGATGTTAAGAGGCTAATATCAAATTACTTATGATATAAAAGTCTAATATCTAAAAAAGCGTTTTTTTATAAATTACATAATGACCTTGGTGTAACATGAAATTACACATTACATAATTGAGTTTTTTAGATCTTAACCCCTTACATCATAAGTAATTTGATATTATCCCCTTAAATCTTCATATTCTAATATTAGCCCCCCAAGTTACTATCATGTGTTAATATGAGGGGCTCATATCAATACATCATGGCTATTTAATCATAAGTAATTTGATATTATCCCCTTAAACCTTCATATTTTGATATTAGCCCCTCAAGTTACTATCATGTGTTAATATGAGGGGCTTCGTATCAATACATCATGGCTATTAAATCATAAGTAATTTGATATTATTCTCTTAAATCTTGATATTTTGATATTAGCCCCTCAAGTTACTATCATGTGTTAATATGAGGGGCTCATATCAATACATCATGGCTATTTGAGGGGCTAATGTCAAAATATGAACCTAACCATAGGAGCTGATATCAACGTATCATAGCTATTTGAGGGGCTAATATCAAAATATAAAGATTTAAGGGCCAATATCAAATTACTTATGATATAAGGGGTTAATATGTAAAAAAACTACATAATTAGTTTTTTTTTCAAGTTTTTGTATTAGCCCTTTTTTCTGCACAGGGGTAAAATGCATCAGACAAACTTAGAGCACCTTGAATGGACTTCCAATAGAATGCAGAAGTAATCATTTTGGCGCTCTCTTTTTTCGTGTCAATTCATTGGGTTTTTGTTTTATCTGACCCACAAGTGTCTGGTAATTCTATATTCCACTCTTAAATCTTCATATATCAAAGCTAGGCCCCACCGCAAATCTTCATATTTGTTCGAAATGATTGTGTTCTTTAAACAAATTTATACATTTGGCTTCTTATTTTAAACAGCTTATTTGATTCGGGCTCTTATCTAAATCAGGTTAGTGTATTAGGGGTCTAAATTGTAAATATGAAGATTTTGTTGGGGATTTTAAGGAGATTAATATGCGGAACTAAACACTAAGCGAATAATAGCACCAATGAAAAATATCACAAGCAAACAAACACCAAGATTTAACGTGGTTCGGCAAATCGTGCCTACGTCCACGGGGTAATCCAAAGAGAAATATTTCACTATGAATCAAGAGTACAATCCCTCCAACTTACACCTGAACTTGAGGATTAAATCACAAGAGAAAGATACGGGTGTTACCTCTAGGGCACCAAAACCCTAAACCTCGTCTCACCAAAAATCTCTAACTCCTGTGGAGAAACCAGTACCGTACCCTCGACGATATCGTCGTTCTGAAGACAACAGCTTTTGAATCACTACAATCGGACAACCGAGCGATCCAGAATCTGAACTTTTATCTCTCTCTTTTTCTTCTCTCTCTTTTTCTTCTCTCTCTTTTCTCCCACAATGCGGCACTGTAGCAAACCCGTGGTTACTGTAGCACCAAAGTACGGTTCACCCGAAAAATGTTTATATAAAAATTGATCTCAGAGCTCTCTTATATAGAATTCTCCAAACCTATTCCTATTTCAAATAAATCATCCAAATCCTCTTCTAAATAGAGTTCTAATCCATGTAGACTTCGTATAGATGAAATTCTAATTCATGTAGATACTCTGAAAGAGGATATCCCGTGGATGGTCGATGCTCTCTAGCTGATCTCCTAAGTTGTAGCTCTGCAAACTCCTGCTGCTGGTGATGCTCCCCCCGCTGAGGAGCCTCCTGCTCGTGATCCTGATCACCGTCTCCCTGCTCTGGTATCTGACCATCATCAACAACATCATCATCATGCACCTGCTCTATATCTGTAGGATGCAACTGTACTGGAGATGAAACGAGTGTCATATCTGGAATCTTACTAACAATACTCTCTGACTGCTCTACTCTCCCAAGATCTGCAATAGTCTGATCCTCCTGAAAAATCACATCTGCTTGTCTGATAATTTGTCTCTTTTCTGGATTCCATAGTTTATAGTCGAACTCATCTTCTCCATAACCAAGAAAGATGCAAGGAAGTGCTCTATCATCAAGCTTCTGTCTCTTCTCCTTCGGAATATGTGCAAACGCCTTGCAACCAAACACCTTCAGATGAGAATAGAAAATATCTTTTTCGGACCAAACTCTCTCTGGAATATCAAAACCCAAAGGAACTGAAGGAGACCTATTGATTATGTAGCATGTAGTGCGAACAGCTTCAGCCCAGAAGCTCTTAGATAACTTCGCCATCTTCAACATGCATCTGACTTTCTCCACAATGGTCCTGTTGTACCTCTCTGCAACTCCATTATGTTGCGGTGTGTTGGGTTCTGTCCTCTGAATGTCGAATATCATGCTTGGAGTAATAATCTCTAAACTCAATGGAAGTATACTCTCCTCCATTATCAGTGCGCAAACACATCAACTTCTTTCATGTCTGCCTCTCCACCATAGTATGAAACTGCTGGAAGACTGAAAATACCTGATTCTTTGCCCTCAACTGTTCGCGGGAAAAACAGTTGCTTTCTTCATTGATTCCATTGTTATCTTGAATAACAGTTTTTCGGTTACAAAAGATCCGGTCTTTTTTAGATCCGGTTACAATGAAAATCAAAAATAAAGAAAATTAAAAATTACAACTTTTTCAAATTTTGTCGAACGAATCGCGAGCTCCTATTTTGCGGTCGCTCGCTTTGGTGGGTTCTTTGCCTGCGCCGGGGTTATTTGTCGTGGACCACCGCACGATCTAGATCCGGTCGGATCTACGCAGTACGACGGGTATTATTTCGCCAAGGAAATAATAGCCGGGGAGGATTGGTTCACCAAGGAACTAATCGTCCAAATCTCGGGATCAAAGGCCAAGCTTTGATCCGGAGTACGCACGCGTAGATCTGAGATCTGGTCCTCTCGAACACCTGCCTTTTTTGACGTTGATGATCGCCGAGCACCAGATCTGAATGAGTCCAAGCCCTCGAAGTTCCAAAGATCTGATTTGTTTCGGCCGAGCCCCCTTAGGCGTTGTTTTCCGTTGTTTTCCGTTTTCGGTTCTGTCCGTGATCCGGTTCTGTGGTTGATTTATCCGGACTTGACTCGTTAACCTGATTTGGCAGTAAATCCGGATCCTGATTAGGCAGTAAATCCGATTCTGAGTTCGAGTCCGAAACTGATCTTGATTTGATCGCGATTCGTCCGAGTCCGCTCTTGGTTGGATGACTCGTTGATTAATCAACCCGTTGGCTTGATTCCGCACGCGAGTGGGTTCATTCCATTGTTTACGTGCGGTTCGTCAGCTTCGTAGCCTCGTTAATCCGCTTTGTCGCGTATCGCTTGGCTTCGGCGTTGTGGACTAACTTGTTGTATATGGATACGTCGTCCGATGGTCGGTTTGTCGAATTGACGTCGTCGAGCTGTGTTAAGGGACTTATAGGCAGTTTTATACGCCTACAGATACCCCCTCCAAAGTATTTCAGCCTCGTTCTTTTATAGAAGAGTCTGGAATACTTTGGATGTGATTTCTCCCATCATTCAATCGGCAACGACGGGATGTCTGGAGTGGCTTCTGTTCTTGATTCCTTCAGTCCTCCAGGCTGTTCGGTGCTTTGTCGAAAGTCTGTGAGGGTCCCGGTGCTGCATTTATTGTCTGACCGTCTGTTGGAATTTTGAATTTGAAGTCGATTCTCGCTTTTCTAACTTTTTAGCTCGAGTTGGTTGTTTCAACATAGAACTAATCATCGGTCGTCGGTGTTGAATCATCATTTACAACGTGTTGTTCGGCGTTTGAGCTTCCTGGTGACGCATTGTCCGGCGTTAGACACAGTTTATACTCGTACGTCTGCTGGAGTATACACAGTTTAAGCTCTTAAGGTATTGGAGCGTGGCAGATACTTGAGTCACGAGACCAATCCATAGAATTGATGCATCAATGACTCGTATTTATAGGATTTTTGGCAAATCCCCAGCCATCAACGGGTTTGATGAGCCTTTACCGACTACCGTTTGAGTCGGGCTAGCATGCAGATTATCTAAATCCGTTCCGCATGTGACGTTGTGCTAAGAGAGTTAACGCTCTTAGTGCTACGATATTGAATACGTAGACACGAGACCAATCCATAAAATTGATGCGTCAATGACTCGTATTTATAGAATTTTTGGCAAATTCTCAGCCATCAACGGGTTTGATAAGCCTTTACCGACTACCGTTTGAGTCGGGCTAGCATGCGGATTGTCTAAATCCGTTCCGCATGTAACGTTGTGCTAAAGGAATGAACTCCCTTAGACTTTGTGCTATGATGTTGAATACATAGGCTTTACCATTTGTTACGGGAATAGGTTACCCGGCGACGCGTGTTAGGCGTTGACTTTAGGATTTTTGGCTAACCCCCAGCCTTCAACGGATTTGATTAGCCTTTACCGACTACCGTTTGAGTCGGGCTAGCATGCGGATTGTTTAAATCCGTTCGCATGTAATGTTGCGCTCAGAGATTGAATCCTCTGAGACTTGTTGTTATGACTTTGAATACATAGGCTTCGCCATTGTTACGGGAATAGGCTACCCGGCAACGTGTATTAGACGCTACCCCAGACTGGTAT